CAGAATACCAAGTAAAGGGAAAGCACAACAATAAATTTTGAGACAAAAATACCTCAATACACATAAAAATCTAGACCCAATCTATCAATTACAAAAGTAAAAATAGTTTGAGGTTATTTTTGTAAAATAACTTCATATTCCAAGTCATATTTCGTTCTAAACCAAATATGGAATCAGTAATTTTTACCCAATATTCCCGGTAATATTTTGGCGAACCAAACACCTCTTTCGTAAGATTACAAGTAAACTCAATTTTTACTGAATTCCCATTAATCATAATTCCCGGTCATCAAAAAATTTCTCTTGTACCAAACACACCCTTAAGTTTATCTAAATTTAATTAGAGCTTGCTGGCATACTCATTTCTGGTAAGTACTTAAAAAACGCATCGCTATTTTAGTAAATTCTTGATGATACAATTGGCATCGCAGTTAAAATTGATTACAACATCAGGAAAGACATGAAATTATTACAAAAAATGTGGGCCAACATTAAGCTGTAGACGAGTGCTGTAAGATCAATTTTTGACAGTAGGAGTAGTAGTGTAGTACATTTAAATCAAAACGTCATAGAGTTAAGTACGTGAGGATGAAAATATGTGTTTGATCCTTTTCAATATTGTCTTTAGAAGGAGTTTAAAGCCTTAATTCTAAAACTCACCCAAATCAAACTAATTATAAATGAACTGATTAAAATATCTAAAAAAACATGTATGTCACATAAGTAATCAATTTTTTAGTTGACATAGTTAGAAGGAGGTTGGAATAAAACGCTTTAGTGCTTAAGCATTCAAGCTTTGTGGCCGTATGATTACCTCAAGCTTTTGGGATGAGTGATTTTTTTTCAGCAACCATTTTCTTTATAAATAAAGGCTCCAGTGTTTAACTACTCATGCATGTGATAGCACGTCCTTAATTAAAATCTGAATATATAGCTCTATATCTACTCCAACTTCACATAAATAAACACATCACGTAAATATATACACTTCATGATTAAAAAGTTACACTTTATTACCAGTTATAACTTTTTACCCAATAATAATTTCTTTGCAAGGTAAAGATAGAATGCCACCTTAATTGAACATTTTTTTTTTAAATACAAAACCATAAGATGTGGGAATACGAGTTATAACTATATCAAGACTCATTCAAAGAAGACTCGCCAACAGATTATATGCCATAAAAGATTCTTAATTCCCACCAAGATAATATGAATGATTCCATAACATACCAAATCTGCCTATAAAGGAAACGGCAATATCTTTTTTACTTATTGACTTTATAAAAAAAGTTATTTATCGAGAATAAGTATATTTTGAAGATATTATTAAGTATTTAGTTGATTCCATTGAAAAACTTGAAGCCCTGGAATCATTAACCCCACAACTTAGAAGGCTGATATAAAGGTATATAGTAATATAGATAGAAAGTATATTATACTTATGAGAGTTAAACACAGTGAATTTTATTCTCATAGACGGACAAAAGTTCATAGCAATGTCACTTGTAAGAAAGATTTAACTATATCTTTTAGTTCTCAAATATATTAATTTCATATTCAAAGATTACGTAAATACCATATTAAACCAAAAAAATAATATCATTTAAGATTGGTTACAAAATACAAACAAAACTTACTGAATGATGCTGAAAAGATTCACAGCTGGATGGAAGATTAAATCACGCACCTAACTATTAACTCCCAAAATATTTATTTCTAATGTCATAATTAAGGTTGCAATTTACCAACCTCTCAGTTCAGTACTTGAACTGTTTCTATGAACTATTATATGATTATTCATCGAAGAATACAATTCTCCTGTCCCCTCTTAATGCTAATTTTTTATTTATTTAATTTTCAATTAATTAAAATTAAGCCTAAAGAAAATTTTCAATAAATTATTTAATTCTTAATTAGCTTTGTCTCCACATTCTTTGATTGTGGAACTAAAGAGTGTGGGTTTAATCTTCATTTGAATTTTGGCATAGCTATGACTACAAAGTATTTTCGATGAGTTTCAATTCACTACAGATAAAGTTCTTTTAAATGATATATACCTAAAGAAAATGAGGAAGTGAAATAGTAAAAGCGTAAGCAAGTTTATTCGGTGCTTAAATTATTATGAAAGAAAGCAAAACAAAAACTAGTAAATCTAAATTTTAACTAAATTTAGAGTAAGGTGTGATTAAGGGTGTTAACGGGCTGAGTTGGGTTGAGTTTTGGTTTTAAAAGGTTAAGTCTGAGTTTAAATATGGCAGACTGGCCTAGCCTGTAACCTGTTATGAATATAATTATTGACATGTGACCTAACTTATTTAAAAAAAATAAAAGTCTGACTTAGCCTGTTAATAAAAATAAGACAACAAAAATTTATCCAAACAGAATATACAATCAACAACACTAATAATTCCACAAAGATTCATAAATTCAATGCATATTCAAATAGCATAATATAGAACAAAATCATTAAAAATTTGATTAGAATGATGGAAAACGATTGTTTGATGGCTTGAATGGACTGGGCACTGAGATAAGAGTGAAAATTAGGTTAGTATAAAAAATAAAAAAGAGAGGTCGTGGACCAGTCTGATGGGCTTTAAGGTCATACTTTTGAATTGGAATCTGAGATCTTTTTATTAAATAAATTTTGGGTTCATTTTTTCTGCAGTTACTGTAGATAAGTTATCTGCAGTAAGCCCAATACGACATCGTTTTGGGGTGGAAATCATGGTATTTTTGTAATTTTAATTTATTTCGGGATTATAATAGCTTTATATTTATAATTTTTTAAAATTTCAATACCAAAACGACGTCGTTTTGAGAATAAATGCAAATAATTTATCTGCAGTAACTACAGAAACATTTTTCCCATAAATTTTTATACAAATTTAAGTTTGAATCCAACAATTAAAACACACATATCAAAACAGGCCTACACGAATTGAGCTAAAGGCGCGGGCTCATTTAACACCCCTAGGTGTGATTAGGGGTGTAAATGGGCCAGGCTGGCCCAGCCCAGCCTACGGCCCGATCTACATTGAGCCTAGCCCAGGCCCGGCCTTTCAGAAAAGTAGAGTAGGCTTAGGCTTATAAAAAAGTTTTTTTAATAAATAGGTCATAAGCCAATTTTGTCAAGTCCGGCCTACAGCCTTGTAGGGTGGCCTATTTAATTTATTAAAATAAAATAATAAAATAATATTTATTTTATGTGACAAAGACACAATGTACCAAATACTAATATTTTATTTTATGAAAGGAAAACTTGTCTAATGTCTCCAAATTTTACATGTTATTGCAACTTAATACCATGGAGCAATGGGCACCTTGCTGGATTATGATGTTACTGATGAAGATCTTTCAATAATACTCTTCTTTCCCTTGTCTTGATGGTGGTTTAAAGATTTTTAGATGAATGACATTCTCTTGTAGACTTTATTTCAGCATCCAGTAATTGTATTTTTCTTATTTTTCCCATTTCTTTGACTCTATTCCTCTATGATATACATTCTAGAGCTGAGGTATTATGTTGAATCTTTCTTATTTGTCATTTTTTTCTTATGAGAAGTACTAGTGCATGCATGAATGAAACTTTCTTTGTTCTAAACAAATTTTTTTTTTTGCTTAGTATATATAGTGGGAGGCCTACAAAGCCTGTAGGCCATGTCAGGCTTTCTTATTTTTGAAAATGGGCCGGACTTGGCCTACAAATAAAGCCTTTAATAGGCCAGTAGGCCAGATAGGCTGAATTTTTTTTGACGTAGGCTTGGGCCAGGATGGCCAAAGCCCAGCCCATTTACACCCCTAGGTGTGATGGATGACTTGTACTTTAATCTTTTTGATATTTGGGTCATGATGACTTGTCTAAAGTATAAAAGCAGAAATACCCAGTTCCAAGTATAGTCTAATAATTTGAAGTTCATCCAGACCTGACCCAGTAGTGCCCATCAGTTTAAGCACATACCTCAGGCCCATGATCCATTTTGATGACAAAACCCATCCATTAGTACCAATAATAACTGGTGTTAGCTAAGTGAGAGAGATTCTATGTCCAAGAGCTATGTCACACTAATAGAATACGAAGGGAAGTGGAGTCTTCTTTGTTACAAACTTATAGTGGATTTTCTAGAATAGTTTTGCTCCCTTTCTCATTCCTTTTCCTTCCTATTGCCTCTGGATTGTGGTTATTCTGTGATTGCATAAGACTAAGTGGAACAATGCAATTGAATGACAGGGAAAATCAAGATTATTTTATAAACAAAAAAAAATTGACAACCATTGAAAGTACCAATTAGTTGCATGTTCAAGGTAATTCACATGGTTAGTTGTGATTTTTAAATGATGGTCCACTGTTATTTATCTAAACATATATTAATTAAACGGTGAAAGAAGGGAGATTAACATCATAGTAGGTTAAGTAAACTAATTATTTTGTATAGCATCATTCAAACTTTTTAATGAAAAATTGGAAAATATTATAAAAATGAGTATATGTTTGATGAAATTAACATTTTGGCACCAACAAGAGTTGTTTATTTTTTTATTTTTAGCTGTGGTTTGGTTTTCAATTTAAAAAACGATCACACCAACACCTGTCTACATCCGTTGAAAAATTGTATTTTAGACTTTTTCCTTCATTCAAAAAGCAGCATCCTTAAACTTAATTTACACCTCTGCGACGCTTCCTTAACAGAGGAGTTAGGACTTAGAAGGACAATTAAAGGGTATGCAAAACAAGACAAACATATGTGTATGCATGATTCCCACCATCCCCATACTCACAAAGGTAGTTATTATATATATTCAATGCAATGCCCAATGTTGTTGTATCCGTTGCGACACATTGACAATGAAACATAAGCGTAAGATTCAAAACTCTTTTCACAAGATAAGCATCTTAGTCTAAAGGGTTTTTTTTTTTTTCTTACTTTCTATATTCCTCATTTCAAAATCTCATAATTATATCTGATCACAATCCACATGCTTATGACCAATCAGAATCTGTCTTCCCAACCCCATCGAACTATCTAAGTACCTAAAAGTAAAATAACCGTATAGATGTGTCATGAAACAAAATTATGAAAAGTCCAAATAGACTAGACAAAAGATAAAACAAGGAGAAACCAGAAAATGCCAAATTGTTCACTTTGACCCAAAAATCTCGATATACCAACATCCCAAAGCATGAAAGTAACGTTGCCAATTAAGCTGCATATCCACTTAAAAGTTTTAACAAAACCAACCAACCCATATATATGCCCCCAATATTTATACATTACATTGGCTAACGTAAAAAAAAGCAATAGAAGCTGAACCAATAAAGATTAAGGGGATGGGGTTAAACCTTTCTCTTCCTTGTTACTGTGACTGAGGGTGTTGTTGCTCAAGTATCTGCAAAGGACCTTACATTTCACCGCACTGCCATAGACATAAAACCCTGGCGCAACCATTATCCTGACCATGCTTGGTACCAACTTGGAAGACTTGTCCCCACCCATATCCTCCATGTAAACCGAATCAAACCTCACCCCTTTGTCCACTCTAAAAATTGGCAAACTTGGGTGAACCGAGTTGGCCAACAAGTGAACCATCCACACACTCTTCGAGGCACCAAAGAAAGCTTGCAAAAGTGGCTCTGGCCAAGCCCTGTTCCAACCCAACATTGCCACGATCTCACTCATTTTCCTGTCACAAAATCTGCTGAAGTCCTCACTGAAGTGCCTTGTCCCCTTGCTCAGCACCTCTTCCCATGTTAACCCGTGAAGCATATTGAACGACTCAAAACTCCCCTCACATCTTTCCACTGGGTTTAGTATCTGATTACACGCGTTCTTCTGGAACCCAATTGATTCGAAGTCCTCAAAGAAAGTTCTATTCAAAAGGGCTTCTAAGTAGAAGAGCAAGCTTCTCGGGTTCTTAGAGAAAGAGATTCTTATATCATAAGGTTGAAGAAGTAAGCAAACTTTCTCATACACCTTGTTCCCCATGTGCCTCAATTGCATAGTAAGAGAACGACTCAGAAGCCTTACACAAGACCTTGCTTCAGAGACCGAGACCAAGAAATGTTGGATCACTGTGTCTTGATGGAAACTCTGAGTCTTTCCCATTCCATAAGGGGAACTGTTGCTGCATTCTTCGAGGCCAGATTTCAAACTGTGGCAATACAACTCGAGCTTGTTGAGCTTCTTCTCTAGCTCAGTCATGGAATGCATGAGCCTTGAAGCCTCTAGAAGAGCCTCATCTCTCTTCCTTGTAGCTTGAACAAGCTTTTGAGAAAGCTCAGCCACAGCCATTTTCCATTGCTCTTCTCTTGATGCTGAAAGAGCTTCATTGGACATGGGGCTCTTGCGTGTTAGCTTGGAAACAATGGACCTGAAAATCCCATTGGGACTCGCCAACAAAGATGAGTGCTTGCTTGATCCATTATTGTTGCTGTGATCCAAAGGAAGGACAAAGATTTTGTCACGAGAATGAGGCCTACACTTGTTGCAAGACACAGAACCATCTTCTTGATCAGATTCAGACCTTTTCTTCTTATTGTGATTGGATTTGTCATTCTTCTTCACAATAGGAGTTGGAGGGTGGTGGTGGTGGTGGTGTTGCTTTGGAGTCAAAGCTTTATCATTGCAAGTACTTGGGGTATTTCTGTCGTCACTGTACTCATCCAATTCACGCTCTTCTTGAATCTGCAATAACAACGAAAAACAAATCATATACACATTACAAGAGCAAGAAACATAATTTTCCCAAGAAACAAAACACAGAAAATGGTTCTCACTGGTGTGAATTGTGGAGAATGGCGTGAAGGTAGAGGAGGAGATTTGGAAGAAGAAGAAGCCATTTGGGATAATTGCAAAGTTAAGAAATTGCATTTATCCGTGTGAGTGAGTGACATGTCATAGGAGCAATGTACAGGACCGAGGTAGTGGTCCTTCATTAAATGTGTATTGGTAACATTAATAGCTGCTATTAACTCCCCTCAAAGGAAATTCAACTACCCACATTTATTCTGAATGCGGTGGATCACAAAACCACCATCCACGTCTCTTTCAATCCAAGGTGTGTGTATACTGTATACTGTGTAGTGTGTAGAGAGAGTTTCAGATAGGATTACTGCATGTGAACATATTAAATGACCCACATCGCCCTGGGTCCTCTATCATGGGAAATTATCATATGAATGCCACTCTATGGAGGGAGGGCCTATTTATACTTTTTTTTCTTTATGCTAGGGCTAGGACTAAGCTCCAAAAAGTTTGTGCTCATAAACGGTTACCACTTACCTGTGGACATGGATTGTCTCACCTTCTAATGTTAAAATTTTGTGTGTAGAATCCCAGTTATTTAATGCTCACATTATTTTCATTTGAGAAAATCATCTTAAATTTTACCGTATTATGAGAGAATGTATTTATTTATGTTAGTTTATCTTAAATGAAGTTTAAGAATTCGTTAAAAAATGCTGTCAAAATAATGTATAAGAAAGTACGATGAACCTCAACCAACTGATGCATACGCTTTTATTTGCATATTTTGACAGATGAGTTGCAAAGGTTTTAAATGACTGATTTGGTATAATTTTTTCTTCTTCTTTTAAATGGTTAATGTGATACCAACCAAGTCAATCTTTGAAAGACTAAATTAAAAATATTTCCTCAAGCATTTATTAAGGAACATTACATGTTTTGAAACGGTATCTTTTAAAAATAAAGTGCAGCACTGGTGATCGTTGATTAAAATAATCAATAATTCAAAATTTTATATAATAGATGCACATAAATAATAAGAGGGGAGATATTCTAACTACTAGAAATATCTATTACCAACTCACTACCTCCACAATTACCATTGGATCAAATAGAGAGAATGTTGAAAAGTTTTTGAAGAGAGAGAAAATATTGATCCAATAGTAATTATGGAAGTAGTGAGTTGGTAGCAAATTTTTCTAGTAGTAAGAATATCTCCACTCAAATAATAACGATGAGTATGAAAAAAGTTTACCGCTTCAATTTTCTCATTAACGATTATTTTTTGTAGTTTACTCTATAAAATATAACTTCCATTCATGCACACCCTATTTCGAGTATGTAAATAGATAAACAATACTATAACATCTTCCTTATACACGATGTTTGTTGTAGTACGTATAATTTCATTGCTTACCAAAAAAAATAATAATAATAATTTCATTTGTATAATCAGCATATTAGCTTTTGTATAACGACGTATAAGCAAGTAGCAAAGGAAGTTTATTTTTTTAATTTTTTTGCTAATAAAAGATATTTTATTAGATACATTAACCTTATATAAGTTATCGTGTTTTGGATCATCACTTGTTCCGCGCCAAGAGGTTTTATATTGAATTATTAAAACAAAGTTTTTTTTTTTTTTTTTTTTGTAAATAAAGAGGGGCTAAGCCCCAGAAACAGAAAGAAATTACAAATCAGAAACTAACAAGCTAGACATATTTCTAGCATCAGCAACTATAAGTTCTATCAACTGAGAAGGAGGATCTTTAAAAATCTTGAAATGGAGATTATTAGTCTGCCCAGCTTTAGCTAACCAATGAGCACATTTGTTGTTTTCTCTCTTGGTATGAACAAGATGAATAGTCCAATCTGCTTTTAACCATAATCTCAATCTGCTAGTGACTTGAGAGTCCCTAGGATCTTCATGCTGCTCCTTTAACATCTGGATGGCTTGGCTAGAATCACATTCTAGCTCTATTCTTTTTAATCCTGTTCCCCAAAGCAGTTCTAAACCTTTCAGTAATCCCCATAATTCTACAACAAGAGGATTGCATGAACCTAAATTATAATAGAAGCTTCCCAAAAAGGATCCATTGTGATCTCTTAATATACCATCACAACTAGTTTTTTTCATGTCATTAGAAGAAGCTCCATAACAATTCAACTTAACCCACCCTTGCTTGGGGGCTATCCAAACGCTATAGTTGGAATCACCACGGCGCTGATAAATTCGGGCTTGCAGAATCTGTTGGACAAACATCCAAATTGAAGCATGCGATTGCTCATCATGACAGAAATGATCTTCATGGATCTCCAAATTTCTCCACTTCCACAAAAACCAACAAGTAGTAAAGAAAATATCCTTCCAGTCCTTCACTTTATTGGAGGACCACATGTTATCGATATTTAAAGTCAATCAATCCTGCAAATTCGAATTCATTAAGAAATTGGATATCGAACCTGTAAACCAAGATTGCCAAATTTTCCTAGCATGTCTACAATCACGAAGAACATGAATAATAGTTTCCTCATGATTTGTAAGAACAAAGAATGTTGTTTCATTTGCAAATGACCAATATAGTTCGAGAGTGAGAATTCAAGTATGAGTAGTGAAGTCTCACATTAATTAGAAATATGCTAAGTGAGAATCATATAATTAAAATAATTCTTAAATTCAATTTCTTAGAGTTTTGGGTTGCATGTGGTGTCTAAGCCCACATATGATAAAGAGTCTATAGCTTAACTCATGTGATAATAGATCTCCCCTTACCATAGGCTCCCCCCTCCAGTTACCCAACACCCTTCAGACACTCTGATCTCTTTGTAGTTTTCCAATTATGTGCTCCATAACACCATGTCTATTCATTGTAAATTGTCGAGACCGTTTGTGGTACGAAAAATGGGGTACATCAATTTTGTATTCAATATTTAGACATGAACTTTTAAATTAACAGGTATGTACCGCATACATTATGGATCACTTTTGACACTTTAATCCACTGTTGTAAAACTCGGCCCGACCCGATCGAGTCGACCCGGAACCCGGTGACCCGGTCATCGGACCGGTTCGGGTCAAGCATTAGACCGGTCATGCATCGACTCGATCAAACCCGGTCAAAACTTGGACTAAACCGGTCAAACCTGGTGACCCGGTCGGGTCATGCTTTAAAAAAAAAAAAAAAAATTGTTTCATCTTATAAAAAAAATGTAGAACTCATTTTAAATTTTTTTTGTAATTTTATTTGCTAGTATATTCTTCTACAATGACCTCAAATTTTAGTTTCCAATACTGAAGCAATTTGCGGAATAATAAATTAAGAGAATGTGACATATGTCATTTTAATGTAGTTGGATTTGAAAAATATGAGTTCAATGTCATTGAGAGGTATGTTTATGGGGATTCTGAGTTGCAATTTAAATTGACATAGTTATTGCGTGCATTTTTATTTATTTATTCGTATTTTTTAGCTTACTTAGTGAATCTTGTTTAATTCATTTTATATATGGAGAATATAATTGAATTTATATGTTTATATTTATATATTTTTTTTATATATCTATATATATCCAGGTCAACCGGTCCAACCGTGACCCAGTACCCCGACCGGGTCGATGCCCGGGTCAGGTTTAACAACACTGCTTTAATGTCCCTAGATAGCCATCATTAGTATTAGAGCTAATGGTTAATGAAACTATGTGTACTGAGTTTTGCGAGATGACAGTGGTTAGTGCTCGAGGTTTGTCAACCTTCCAAACCCATAATGAAGGAGCCAATCAGTGGAGCCAAACCCCATGAATGCTCGAAGAAGCCTCACACTTGAGAAAGAGAGAGAGATATAGAGAGAGAATGTTGGAAATGAGAATCAAAGTGAGTAGTGAAGTCCCACATTGGTTAAAAATGTGCTAAGCGGGACCATATAAGTAAAAAACTCATAATTTCGATGCCTTAAGATTTGGGGTTGAGATTTGGTGTCTGAGTCCACTTATGATAAAAAGTTTGTATCTTACCCCATATGATGCTGCATCCACCCTACCATGGGCTCCGCCCGTTTCCCAACATCCCTAAAATAAACCACCAGTTGACTTTTCTAACTTTCCAATTATGTGTTCCCATAACACTATATCTATTCAATTCTATTTCTCTATTAATTTTCTCATAATTTGAGATTACATTAACTAAATTTAAAAGACTTTCTTTCCCTTAATAACAAATTTTTTCTATTCTAAAACCTTATATACATTGGTGATGTGTCAGGATTGTTTATGGTAGAAGGGAGTACATCATTTTCATATTCAATATTTCAACATGAACTTTAAAATTAACAGGTCTGTACCTCATACGTTGTTAATCACTTTTGACACTTTAATCTCCATTGATATTTATCATTGGTATCAGAGCTAATGGTTGATTGGACTATATGTACCAAGTATTTGGAGATGGTGATAGTTAGTGTTTGGGGTTTTTAACCTTCTAAGTCCGTGATGAGGAGCCAATGAGTTGAACCAAGCCTTGATATAACCCTACAAATATTTGAAGAAGCCTCACACTTGAGGGGGGAATGTTGGAAATGAGAATTCAATTGTGAGCGGTGAAATCCCAAGTGGAATGATCCATTAAGATTTTTAGTTGGCATGTGGTGTCTGAGCACCTTACGATAAAGTGACGCTAACTTAGCCCACTACCAGCAGAAATCCCCTATGTCTAACACTTTGATCTCTCTGTAGTTTCCCAATTATGTGCTCTCATAACACCATGTTTATTCAATTCTAAATTCTCTATCAATTTTCTCATAATTTTTCCTCTTAATAATTGTTTTGTCCTAAAAATAGAGATGTCTAGTCAGGGACTAATAGATTGATTTTGATTCTAGGGCTCTCTTAGGTATCTATGAAAGAGATACTTTTAAGGTAAACAAATCACTGTGCACAAGAATAATGGCATAGCCAAAGAAGTAGTGTGTGTGAACATTGGCAGCAATTAATGAGAGAAAGTAAGTGTTATACATATAGGTTTTACCTCTTATTTATAGAGTTTATCTATGGATAGTAGAATTATGGACCTTTAGTGGCTTTTCTGGGGCCCAATGCTTGGTTAATTGTTGTCGTAGTAGGATTAGTATCATTTAAGAATCCTTTCCTTTATTTCTCTTAGTTTTCTCTTTATGTTGCCATGCTTAGGCCTTCTAGAATATGGGCCCATAACAATATCAAAATTTCTTTATTCTAAAAACTCATATTTATTGGTGATGTGTCGGGACCGTGTGTGGTACGAAAAGTTTGGGGTACATCATTTTCATATTCAACATTAGACATGAACTTTTATATTACTAGGTATTTACCTCATATGTTAATTGGTATTTACCTCATACAATTTAGTGTTAATGATTGATGGGTCTGGGCGTATCGAGTATTTAGAGATGATGATGGTTCGTGTTCGGGATATATCAGTGTTCTAAACCCATGATGAGGAGCCAATATCTTGATTTTAAGTAGAACCAAGCCTTGACGTAACCCTATAAATACTTGAAGAAGCCTCTCATTTGAGGGGAAAATGTTGAGAATGAGAATCCAAGTGTGAGTAGTGAAGTCTTACATCGATTATAAATATACTAAGTGAGGATCATATAAGTGGAAGAACCTCTTAACTTAATCGCTTAAGATTTTGAATTGAGATGTGATATCTGAAAGACCTCTGCCTCGTTTAGCACCCCTTGTCCTAAGAAATACAACACAGTAATAGTACTCACTCATCCTTTCTTCATGATATTCTCAATAATCATAATGGAACTCGCATAGGAACAAATCAAGGATATGTTCAACTTACTTCCCGAATATACAACAGTATAGTGTGAACCCATTACTTCCCAGAACCTTATCCAAAAATCAGCAGAGAACCCATTACTTCTGTTGTCACTGATGATCTGCGAGTCAACTCTCGCAGGCCTTTGTTTTTTTATAGTGTGAAATTATATGTTTTTTATTTGTCTAATAAAAAATCACTTATCCTTAAAAAGGTTAAAAAGTAAGTTCTAAAGACGCGGTGTTGATGTAATCTCCTACAGCATATTTTATCATTCAATAACTATCCTACAGTTTAAGAATGAAGATGAAAGTGATGGTTTGGAGTAATGAATAATTTTAATAGCTTGCCTTGAAGTTTTGAACATAAAAGACTTTTCCCGTTTTAGCCATAATATTTGATTTCAAGTTGATGGAATCACGAGCAAATTCCAAAATTAAGATACCTTATGGGTTTAATATATGCTCACAAAAGCAACCTTCATGTGAAGCAAGAGGCATAAAATGCCTAATAAAAACAGCATTAAATAGACAACTGTGACTTTGGTGTGCCGTTTTAAAGAGGCGATGTACAACTGTGCATGAAAGCAACACATGATGTCGTGACCTGTTATAGCCTTAATTGTTTGGCAATTTGTACAGCTACAATTCTAAGCGTCAAATATAACCCCTCATTATATTTTGGGATATTTAGACTAGATCTACTTTTACATAGCTGTATCTTGTGCTAAATCCCTACAAAGACTATCCATCATTTCAACTTATAGTTTGGTGTAGTTATACAACAAAAGTGGGGTGTCCTATCTAGCTCCTTGTATCTATATCAATTGTCACTCATCCTTTTTCCCCCCCTCCATTTATTGTCATCGTTGTGTTGAATCCATGTTCCTGTTCTTACGGTGAGTTGACGGCCCTGACAGTAAGTGTTTTGGCTGGTATATAGTTTTTATTTTTCTTGGTTACATGGCTAGTATGCAGTTAAGTTACTCCAGTAGGTTTTGCAAGACTTCAAATTCTTAATTTTGACTTTCAGTTTTATTTGTCTTTTGTATGGGGGACCCTATGTATTTATTTATTTCTTTTGCGCATGGGAAGGCCCACCCTGAGATGGGACCCATTGAGAAATGGAACCCCTCCAATCTGAACCAGAAAGTTGAGGCCCTGTATTAAAAAAAAAAACAAGTTGAGGTTCATGAGCTCGTATGTAAGAATTTTAATTAGATGAAAAAAAATGTCTCCGTACAAGAAAAGCACACTACTTTTTCAATATAATAATAATAAAAGCCTTAGAGAGAGACGGACTCTATTCTCCCAATCTTTAGGGTTCTACCATGGAACTATGTTTCTCTTCTAAAATTGATTCTATTCAAGACAGTGAAGTATCCACAATGTCTTAAGGCATCAAGAACAAACAAGGAGTTATGAATGGTACAAAGCATGAAAGCTGTCCTTGTACAAGGGTCTCTCATCCTCGAAAGTTTTTCCCAAGATCTCGATAATTATTGCAACGCATTACTTTCATCAAAACCCATAATATATACCACTAAATGATGTAGAATACATGCAGCTGTATATAAATAAGCTTAAGTACGAGTTTTGTTGTCTTGGTTTGCTTTGCATAGGTTTGTATTTTCTCCCCTTCATGGCTCTCAATATAAAGAAAAAAAATAAAATAAATAAGAGGTCACTATTAATCAAGAAATATTTTTTTCCCAAAAAACAAAATACATGTAGATTACACCAAATGGTACTGAAGTATCAAGTCCTAAAGGTTGACTACAAGCATCTGAAGGAGAAAAGTTAGGAAAAGAGAAACAAACAAAAAAGTACCGCAACCTCCTAAGAACAAAATAATCAGAAAACCATTTCAACCTTCTTCCATTGATTTCTATATGACGGCAGGGCCCCATTGCCCATTCTGGCAAAGAATTTCACGAAGAAAATGTTTACTTGCTAGATCACTGAATAAAGGAATGTTGAAAACACGTTGCAGAGGCTTACTGAAATGCCGTTTTAAGCCCATATCATTGAAGAAATTTGGCAAGTGTATACGGGTGAGATTGGTTTAAAATGCCATACGACCAGCCAGCCTGCTTTCAAGTATCCTCTTATCTATGGCTGCATCAATGGAGCTCATCTGCAAGGTAAACATGATAGTAATGATCAGCGAGTAATCATAGACCACAAATTACAACAACAAACCGAATATTTTAGAGCCTGGTCCTATGCAAGAGATCCAAACTCTGCGAAAGAAGCTGACCTGGGCCAAGTCTGAATTCACTTGTTCCATAAAATAAATTGTAATGATGCTACGAATGGGCAAAAATCTGTTGGGTAAGATCATGTTCCACCCAAAACCCCAAACTTTGGAATCAAGCAGGGGGAGAAAGAATATCATTGGCAAAACCAAACCCAACAAAAATCATATATACATACTCTTTTACGGTGTACAAATGCCGGGATGAAGTATCACGAAGTTGGTTGTTTGCAGCAAGCTTCACAAATTATGTTGTGGTAATTATAATTAACTACCAAAAGCAATTAGTAGAATATTTACTTGAATCTTTAGATGCTTACAAAATTTGGAAGCATAGCTTGCAGCCATAGTTGCCGTTCAAAATAAGATAGCATGCACTACCCATTTAGTTTGGAAACAAAATGGAGGATTAAAAGGATCATATTTTCTTGGCCATTTAATTTCTTTTCTTTTCTAAAAAGGATTAGAAATTTATACAGAATGTACCTCTTTAAATAGGAAACAATGCGTAAACAACTGAATCTGAAAACAGAAAGCATAAAGCCTACTCATCTGGTTAGATGTGAAAGCAACTCCATCTATTACAGAGGTAGTATGACTTACCTGGCTACTTTCATCATGCACCTGATATTTTGGCAGAGACATTCTTCTTTCCTCCTACAGGAAAGAAGCATCATAACATTACCAACTAAGAAACAGAAGCAGTCAAATGGAACACAACAGATTTTCTCAAGAATTTAACTCACCATGGACATTGCCTCATCATCCCAAACTAAGTAGACTTCGTTAGTGGCAGGCTGAGGAGCCGGAGCTTTATTTGCAATTACTGGGGGAGGTCCAATTGAAGGACCACCGGTGTTTGGACCAGAAGCATAAGAATGTGAGTTACTTGCTGTCCCACCTATAAGAAACCAAAGTGAGAAGGAAATGAAAATCACTAGAATCATATAAAGTCAACCTAGAAACACTAAATTTTCAGAGCTAAGTTTTCAATTTTATCAAACATGATCTTGCAGTTTTGTGTCATAAACCAGTCACAATTGTTAAGGAAGGAAAGGATAACGTTACCTGGAATCCCTATTGCCTGATAACTACTTGTCAGAGAAGAGTTGCCACCCAAATGTGCATCAACAGGGACATTAGTAGACAACACTGGAGTTATCGATGGAACACTTGAAGACAGAGGTGCCACAGAGAATGTTGAACTTTGAGCTGTTGTATGGTTATTTCCAACAACAGGAAACAAAGGTTGTGAAACTGGGAGAGAAGGTGTAGATGTAGGCAATCCAGGAGGAGTAATTTGAGTTTGGAGTGCAGGAGGAGCAGTTGACGGCAGCGGTGGCCTCACATTCTGCACAGGAAATAGTGGCTGCTGTGCGTATGGGGCAGGGGGAGGAATTGAAACAGCTGGAGGCTGTGAAAACCATGGCTGAGGTCGAGGTGGAACCACCCAAGGATTCGAAGGCACAGGTCCAGATGGATTATACCTGCAGCAGAGAGGTAGGTACATGAGCAGATTTTATGCCACTCATATATATACATGAGCAGAATTTACTACTCCCATATGCCAAATACAACATGAATGTGAATAGGAGAATTAAAATGAACAAAAATTTTAACATACATTGGTGGCATTGTGCCCAAAGTTGATCGAGGAGGATATCCTGTACCCAAAGGAGGTGGCACCATTCCACCTACAAGCTGGGTTGATGGGATATCTACCTTGGCTGCCTTTGACGGAACCTCATCATCTGCATTAAACACAAAAATGCAAGAGAGAAGATTAAACCATTTCAAGTCTGATTCAACATTTTTACCATCACCAACAATATTTGTACAAAGCTTTAGTCTTGAGTCCTACAAAAATACTTATGACATCACACACTACCAAGTAACAGAAGGATAAAGAAAACAACAGTCTCCGTATATATTAGATGAGATTATAAAGGAAAGCATCTTTTTAACAAAAGAAGAATTCATTAAGATTGAAGAATAGCCAAAAATAAAAAACAATCACTTTGGGTTGTTTGCAGACTGCAGTTAATAAGTTGTATCGAGTATCAACCGTCAATGAACCAAACAAAAACCAAAAATATTTTTCGGCCCAAGACAGAAGCCATCAGACAAGAATAAGAACAATATATGACCTTCATCTCCATAATGAGCAGCCAAGACATCTGGTGGAATCCCTTGCATTCCATATATTTCAATATCTGTACTCTCTCTCCCAGGTTTCGCATTGGGCACCCTGAAAAACACAAAAAGGAAGATCTCAACAATAATTGACAAAATGGCAACAACTTAAGGAAACAACACAAAACAAATGATCAATGTCGAGATTTTAAGGCGCACATTCAAAAGGCACTCGTAAAAATATTTTAAGTTTACGCATCAAGTGTAAAATATGCTTGGCTAACATACCGCCTTCCTCTTCGTTAATATAAATTCATTCAGTAATGGATCATTAGTAATCAAGATAAACCTCAAACCAGACAGCCACTCAACCACTTACAAACACTCCATAAAAGTAACTAGCAACCAGAACATTTACTAAATTTCTAGCATCATGATTACGATGTGCTAATATAAAGAAAAAAACAATTAACATGAGTGAAACTCTTAACACGCAAATTACATAAACCTCTATTTTTTTTTCTAAGATGAAATTCAATGCGATTATACCCCAAAATACAAAACCCTAATTTAGGAGAAATCTAGGAATGAGGGTTATACTTGGTGACGGATTCCTTGTGGACCTGGAGAACGTGGATGGCCATGCCGCCAGCGGTTGAGAGCTTCTTGTGGCAGACATGGCACTTGAAGTGCTTCGCTTTCTGATGCTGCACTAAGATCTTCTCGTCATCGAATTCCCGATCGCAGTAATAACACCACACCTTCGAAGAAACCCTCTTCTTCTTCTTCCCCATCTCGATTCCGATCACTCGAGAATTGGGTTTGTGCCAAAGTTTGGAGCTTGGGGTCTGTGTCGTGCACCCACCCTTCAATGGAGGAGGAGGAAGAGGAACTAGGGCTCAAATTGTTCTCCTGTTTTCGCAAATTGAAAAATCAAAACCCTCTCTGTTGATATGGATACGGGGTTATTTCTACAATTGAGCAGAGTTTTGTGGTCCAATTGAAATATTCATTTGTTCGAGGGATTTTTTTATTATATTGGTTCGGTGTTTTTCATTTTTAAATACATAAGTTAAGTATGTCATTTTAGAAGAGAGATAAACACCAAAAATAAGAATCATGTAAGAGAGAAAGTGGGTGATTTTTTTAATTTAAATTTTAAATAAAAAATTATGGTGTGTCTATCTCTCTCTTAAAATGACATAATTTTATGTAAACACTTTTCGTTATTATATACCAGTACTAATATATGACCGTGCTTTCAGAAAAAAAAAATTGATCATTTTGTCAAAAATAAAATAAAATCGAAAAGCAATTATATAACATTATATTGTAAAAAATATGTTTATCACAGGGTGTCCAAGTCATTAATTCTCACAATCAAAAATCAATTATGTACGTGTAATAAATTTTCATATTTATACACACACAAAAAATTCTTATACTTCATTTTAGATTATTTTCTTTATGTGTGTGACATATATTAGATGACGATTTGAAAAAGATTTGATAACAAATATTTATTAGTTTAATTGCCTACATATGTATGATACCTAGTACATTTTTTTAAGAAATAATATTTTTTATAAATTTCTCTAAATAAACTTTAGGAATTTTTTTTTTATTTCAAATAAACTATTCCAGTGAAACGTATGAAATATAATAAAAAGGGTTTAAAGGATATAGAGTGATGTTATTTTAAATGAAAGAAAAATACAAGTAATAAAAAAAAAGAGTTTTTTTAATTCAAATTTTAAATAAAAAATATTAGTTTGTATCTTTTTCTTACTTAAAATAACACAATTCTATATTTTTTTAAAAAAATAAATATTTTTCCCAAAATAGAATGATTTATATTTAAATAACTTGATTTTATTTTGTTTGTTTGAGACACAATTTTGTCGTGCAAATAGAATAAAAAACCAAAGAAAACAAGTGTCATTTAATTGATTGAGACATGTTAAGTGACTTTGTCAGTTATGTGTTGTGTATTGAGGTAGATGCGTTGGGTAACTCGATAATGACAAATTGATGATATATTTTCATTAATCAATCCAAATTAATTTAAACAGCAATAATCGAACTAAAAAATTAATAATTGAATTAATTCAAAATAATTTTTTTTATAAAATTTAATTAAATTGGATCAATTTTCAATTTGGTTGATAAAAATTGATCAAATCCAAACCGATATAATGATTTCTCAACTTACCCTCTATTTACTTAGGCCTATTCTTCAATCATAGCCCAAAAATCATATAGTAAAATCCTAAACTCAAGACCATCGACCCATTAGCTTCTAACGCAAGAAAAAACCTAACCACCCAAACAACCTCAAACCATAAAATACGAGGAGCAAGCAAACTCGGTTTGGGAGAATAAAAACGATTTCAAAGAGATTGTATGGCTTCATTTTGATATAGCCAGTGGTTTGTATGACAAAAATTTTAGATTTTTTTAAAAAAACTGAAAATCAATCCAATCCAAACTGAATAAAATTGATTGAATTGGACCGGATTTAAAAAAAAATCTAAATCGAATGAATCTCACATGATCAAACTAAAGAGATTGGATCGAATAATTTTTACTTCCAGAACCGATTTAGACCGCATCTCAAACATCCCTATTTCGGGATATAACTTATCCGAGCATGAATCGGACATTTTAGACCATGATGTTTTTGGCAAATCATGCCTTCAAAATATGACTGATTTCATTAAGCAACTATTTATGCTTACCAAACTCGAAAAAGTCATTGAGAAATATAATAATACCCCCCAGGTTAAGTGATTGATGTAACTCATCATTTATTTGTGATTCGATTTCCTATCCAAGCTATTTGTTTTATAGACGAAATATTTATGGGTTTGATGTTCGTTATTTTAAATGACATAAGTTATGTCATTTTAGGAGAGAGATAGACACAGAGAATAAAAATTATGAGGACGAAAGTGAGTGATTTTTTTTATTTGAGTGGGTGGTTTTTTTTAATTCAAATTTTAAATAATTTTTTTTTATTTTGTGTCTATCTCTTTCTTAAAATGACATAACTTTATGTCATTTAAAATGACAAACACTTTTCCCAATATTTATAGGTTGTTTTAGTAACAATTACATCTACAATAAGTGTGGTGGATCAGAAAATTTTATTTATTTCCACACATTTAGTGATGGGGTTCAAAAAAAAAATGCATTAAAAAAAGAATATAAACAAAAAAAGAAAAGAAAATTTGTACATTTCATTAATCCCTGCATATGCACATAATTTTCTTATTTAAATGTACGAAATACTTTTATGCTTTTTTTTCACCCCCAAAAAGTATAATATAAATTTAGATCAATCTAGTATATTTTTAAGTAAATAAGATAAAAATTAATAGTTTCATATAAAACTTGAGACTTAAAAAAAATAAAAATCTGAAGCCGACTTACACAAATTCTCATAGATTGCTAGTCTCTTACGGCGTTTGACCACCATATTCCACCCCGATCTGACGGTGGTTCCCATTTACCAGCGATAGATTGCACTGTTCTATTTCTTTTCGCTCTCCAGTCTCAACCACCTCTTCCTCCTTCTAACTCCACCAATTTCACTTCAATGCAAAAGCACACCGCAACTCAACTCCACCTAACGAGCACATGGGAAAGTAAATTATTATTTTTCAAAAGTTTGTGTCCGCACTTGTGGTCACTTGCAACAATGTAGGTCCACCAGTGTCTACAACTAAATTGAGAAAGTATTTTCATCACAACTAGGAGAGAAAGATAGAATGGGAGGTCGAGGGAGGGCTAAGAGCCTATAAAGAAGCAAGAAATTCATTAACGCCTAAACCTTATCATAAATCAACTAAATTGTTTGGCCTTATAAGAAAAGAATTGCTTGATCTTGAATATTAGTAAGTGATTTGATGGTTTAAATTGTACAAGCTAAACTTGCTTACCTCAAATTAGTGTTAATATTTGTCGCTAGCATTGCACTTCATACTCACATGTTCACAAAAGATACAGCAATACACGTTTCTAAGGGATGTAGGCCTCCCAAAAAGTAACGAAGGCACTGAACCTGCTTACCTCAAATTAGTTAATATTAATGTATTTGTGCGCTAGCAATGCACTTCATACTCACAAACAACACACGTTTCTATGGGATGTAGGCCTCCCAAAAAGTAACATAGGCACTATGAGTCAGACTCAATAGAATTTAATCAATCTTTGTTTTTTAATTTGGTTGAGGGATAAGACAAATTGAATCCATTTATCAAATATTTCATTAGAATCATTGATGAAATATTTGAATTGGTCAGGTTTTCAAGAATTGAATCAATAGTCTACAGGCTATAGCACACCCACGCCGGAAGGGCATGCTCCGATAGCCATACTGTATAAAGGGACAACGACCCTTTTGCCACTTTTAGGCAAAAATTTACTGGACCGCCACGCTCCAAAAAATAAATTCCAGAATGCCACGTCACGTAACTCGCTACAACACCTAACGAGTTAGGAATGGACACGTGGCAGCAACTTTAAGGCCACAAAACTCGCTGGACAGTCCAACACTTTTCTCAATCGACGTGTCAGACTGCTCAATTTGAGATATGGTAGTCGACGTGGCTGAGTTGTTGCACTGTGCAACGACTTACATGGCACTTTTTTGACACGTGGCCCATAGTTGCCACACTGCATAGTCAGTATAGTTGGTTTGGCACAAATACCCATATACAAACAAAAGCTTTGGTACAAATACCCATGTGCAAACAAAAGCTGGGTTTTTTTATGCTGACACATTTACTGATGCATGTGTGGGTTTTTTTAAGGCATATGGGATATGATTAATGCAGATGCCACCTTTTGTTTAGAAAGCAAATAGAAAGTTTGTTTGGTTACTTTGTTTATAAAGGAATGTTAAATTCTATTTTAAATAATAAATTTTATGTTAAATATTTTAATTTGAGCAAAAAAAGTTAATATTTATAAAACTTACATGGTAAACAATAAATATGACAAAAAAATTTCTAAAAAATATTTAATAATTGTATTATATAAAACAAAAATAATAATATTCCTAGTTCTCATTAATACTAGCATCCACAAAAATAATTACATATCATAGAATAAAATTTTGTCATTTTTTATTGTTTACAATGTAAGTTTTATAAATATTTCACTTTTATCGCTCAAGTTGAAATATTTAACATAAAATTTATTATTTAAAATATAATATAACATTTCTTTTATAAATAAAGCAACCAAACAAACTTTGTGTGAGCTTTCTAAAAAAAGGTCGCATCTTAATCATATCTCATCTGCCTTAAAAAAGCCCACCCTTGCATGAGTAAACGTGTCAGCATAAAAAAATCCCAGCTTTTGTTTGCAGATGGGTATTTGTGCCAAACCAACTATACTCGTTGTAGTGTGGCAACTATGGGCCACGTGTCAAAAAAGTGCCACGTAAGTTGCTGCACTATGCAACGACTTAGCCATGCAGTCTGACACGTTGCTCGAGAAAAGTGTTGGACTGTCCAACGAGTTTTGTGACCTCAAAATTGCTGCCACGTGTCCATACCTAAATCGCCAGGTGTTGTAGCGAGTTAAGTAATATGACATTTTGGCAAAATTTTGATAGAGCATGGCATTCTGATAAATTTTTGCCTAACACGTGGCAAAAAGTTAATTGTCCCCTATATAGAACCTACCATGACATGAAACTACACACTTACCACTCAATTTAAGAGAATATGTTTGAGAATTTGGAGGAGAAAGAAATGAAGGGAATCTAAGAGAGAGGGAGGGGAAGGAAGGAAAGTGAATTGAAGGGTATTATTTTTCTTTGTTTGGAAATTAAAAATATAGCAAGAGAAAAAAATGGAGGGGTAATGAGATATTTTTACAATTTTATCATTTTTAAAAATATTAATATAATTATTATAT